TTCCTGAAAATGGTTACTAACTTAACACATTTAAACTTAAATTAAGTTAAATATACAACAATTCCTCTGGTAAAATTAAACTATAGGTCTCATCTTTAAAACTTTTTTTTTCATTTTTAATGTTTATAAATTTTTGTTAGCATTAGCAGGTAGGTGATTAGCACCTAGCAGCTAATGGTAACATTGCTACTAAAAAGTTGCTATACTTTTTAGTAAATTCAAACTCAAATCAAGTAATATGCATTAATGTTTCTACTAAGATGGGACTATAAGTCCATCCATTATCATTTTACCCACTTCTTCCATTTTGGGTCACGGGGATCACTGGTGCCCATGTCCAGCAATCGCTGTGCGAGGTGCGGGGTACACCCTGGACGGGTCGCAATCCATCACAGGGCCACATAGAGACAAACAACCATTCACTCTCTACTATAAGTCCATATTTGGTTAAAAAAATAAGTCATTTTCCCATTTCTAATTTTTGTAAAATATTAGTTGGCTTTACTAGCTAGGCGATTAGCACCTAGCAGCTAATGTTAGCATTGCTACAAACTCAACTTAGCAACTAGCTTGAGAATGCTAAATGAAAAAAAAAAAAGAGCAAATAAAACAAGGAAAATTAAACAAAAATCTGACATTAAAATGTCTCATTGATTTAATCTCAATTATATAGGCTATTTTACGTCCTGAAAGCCAAAATCCCATATTGTATCTGCTATATTACAATATTAACTGATATTACACAAAGTGATTTGCCCTCAAGTGGAAAATATATGTTTTTAGAAGCTAATGACAAAAAAAAAAAAGACACTGATAAATATACAAAAAGAAGTTTATTTACGTTTTACTTCATCTGTATGAAATAAACTTTTCCCGAGTGAAATAAGATCATCAACTTCTAACGAATTTTTGTGTGAAAGTGACGATTTGGATCCGGTTCGCCATACCCAGAAAGCAAACACTGAAACATCTGCAAAAAATGAAATGTTGTCCTGATGTGGTCCAGGCTGCCGGATTGCTGGGGGCTAGATTTGCATCAAATGTCTGCACAGCTCTGACCCGTCTCTCACCTCTCACACCAGACGTGCCCTCGGGTTCACTTTGTTGCAACCAGAATAGTTCATCAACCGAGCTGCCATCATGTAACCAGGAAACCTTTCCTTTCCACTTAAAAACTGATTGATGTGAGGTTGGATGCCTGCAGGACGATTTTATCTCAAAATCGACAAAAGAAATTGTGACTTGAGGGAATAATTGCTCTTACTAAAGCACTCAGGATGACAATTTCGTGAAGATAGTTTTAGGTTCAATTTGACCCCAAAAGTATTTAAAACTTAACATTTTCCCGAGCAAACGCTCCTGTGTACTGTGTTTTTTTTTTGAGTGTTGCTTGTTCGGCATGTCCTTTTACCCGACACCCACCCATGAATGTGACTTTATCTTCAGATTTAACCTCTAAAATATGGTGCTGGGAGAAAGCATGCCATTGCCGTTGTTACATATTTACCTTAAAAACAGCAGAAAATATATGTAATTTATTTACTCCATATGCTATGTAGATATTCCCTTAATTTTACTTTATCGTCTTAAATGTATTTGTGTAAACTGAATGGCTAACGGATAACACGGACCAGGGATTATTCAACAAGAGTTGCAGGAAATAAAAGTGTCATCTGCAAACGGTAACATCCTAAAGATCAAGCAGCAGAGACGTTTTCGTTGCTCTGAGAAACTTTGCGAGGAACTGTGACTTCGCTCAGCCATACACTGCCAGATCGGTGGTCTTGTGTTGCCATTTTTTTCTGCTTAATACAAAAGCTTTTACTCTTTCCCTTTAACAAAAAAAATTAAATATCAAGTCTGTTAAAACTTCAGTGTTTACATCCCAAAAAAAAAAAAATCTCCTGAAGCTGTCAAAACAGAAGAAACTGTATCAGCTTCTGCTCTCTCACGATGTACACATGCTCATTTCTTTATGAAAATAAATTACCTCAATTGTGTCCTTTTCTGACTCTGTTCCTGCCGCCAATGGAAATGTTTTGTATGACTAAATGGTTTATGCATTAAAAAAAAAAAAAAAACCACAAATGTGAGAATGTCTCGCTTTTGGCGTCATTTATAACGAATAAAATAAATTAACTGTCACATAACCTGTCAAGAGTCTTCGGTTTTCTGCGTTCCATCTTCACACAGTCCAGATCCAGTTTGAGGGTCCGTGAACTGGGCCGCGAGTCGCGACACCGGCTCGTGTTTCACTCCGGACCACAAACGTGTCAGGAAGTCGGTATTTTAAAAACATGTCTGCCTGTGAGGCGACGTCTCTCAGAATACACGTGTTCTATTCTTCCTTCTCCTCTCACTTCTTGCCTTTGATTTTGTGGATCTCCTTGGAGCTGAGAACCAGCACGCCGTTCTTGAACCGACCCACTTGACCCAGTGTGGAACCAGAACCAAGACCAGAGGACGACGGTGTCTTCCTGTCCCTGATGGGGAGGCAGCACAACAGTCTGCATTAAGGTTATGCAAACAGACGTCGAAGGACTTATTGCCTGCTGCAGCGTTATGTTGCGACAATAAAATTTACACATTCAAAGATTTAAAGACGCCTAAAGGGCAAATATTTATGTTCCAGCCTGACTTTTAAATTCAGTTTTCGTTTGAATTGTTTGTTCATTTCTCGATGTAACTGACTCTGGATGATATTCAGTCGTACCCACCTCTGATTGCTCTTCTTTTTCTTCTTCTTCTTGTCCTACGGAGCAGAGGCACACGTTACAAACAGCACAGATAAACTACCACCGTATTTTCCGGCCTATAAGTCGCACCTTTTTGCCTAATTTGCATACCCTGTGACTTATACGCTGAAGCAACTTATTAATGGATTTTTCCCAATTATTAGACATTTTTGGACAGATGCGACTTATAGGCCGGAAAATACGGTAAACTAATATGGACCAAGATGCAGCTCTTACAGGCTGATACTCTTCCTTTTCTTTTTGCTTCTTCTCCTTTAGCTGCTGCTGAAGCGCCTTGTAGTTCATGTAATCCTTCTTAGGAGGCTGATAAGAGACAATATGGACCTTTTACCGGTAATTGATATTAAAAAAACAGCAGTGGAATGAAAAGCAAATTAGTTTTTCTCACCCAGGCTCCCAGCATTACAGCTCTGTCCTGCTCAAAAACTCGCTGCTGCTCCTTCTTGTAGCCGGTGATTCCGAAGCGATGGACCTCCAGACGAGCCTGAAGACACACGAGCGCAAATAAATCACCGTGTGTGTGATGATGACTCAAAATGGAACGTTAAAATAAAGAAGAAACAAACGGGAATGAAACAACACCTTTTCCAAACCGAGTTTTCCGTAGCCGTTTTGCTTCTGGTCAGACGTATGAGGGGCCTTGGAGCGACGGGCGCAGGAGGCCACGAAGACAAAAGAAGAAGGGAAGCAAATTAGAGGTAAGAACGAACGAAGGAGGTTCACTCAAAGACACGGTAAATGTAATGTTGACTAAAATCTGCCTGAGTTGACAAACTCAGAATCAAATTTAAAAACCAGTTGTAACATCTTCATGAACCAAGCTCCATCTTACAATAAAGATCTTATTGTTCCATATCTTCCTAACAGAGCGCTTTGTTCTCAGACTGCAGGTTTACTTGTGGCTCCTACAGTTTCTAAAATAGGAGGTAGATCTTTTAGTTATCAGGCTCCTCTCTTGTGGAACCAACAGTTTCTGTCCACGAGGCTGACATCTAGTCCACCTTTAAAGCTAGAATCCAGACTTTCCTTTTTGATAAATCCTATAGTTAGGGTCGGCTTGGGTTTCCTGAGCTATCCCTTAGTTCTGCTGCTATAGGCTTCGACTGCTGGAGGACAAACAAACCACATTTCCTCACTTAGCTGCTGTCTTTACTCGCTCCGTTTTCCATATTTGTATTTTTATTAAAATGCACTTTGTCTTTGTTTCTATAGAAACCAGACCTGGACCAGTCTTTCAGTTTTAGTATGCGTCTCTTTCCTGTCCTGTCTGACCCCAGCCAGTTAAGGCAAATGGCTGCCCATTATGATTCTGGTTCTGCTGGAGGTTTCTTCCTGTTAAAAGGGAGTCATTTCTTCCCACTGTCGCCACTGTGCTGCTCAGAATGTGAGATTGTGACAAAGTGGCGATTTGACGCAGGCTGCCGGCTTCTTTAGAGAACTTTTACTCATTGGCATTTTAGTGAACGTTCTTGTGCAGCGGACTGAGACGGCATTTGCTGTGAACATAAAGAAGCGTCATTAAATTGAATAAATTAATTTTCAACCGTTTTGCATTCGATGCCAGATGTTTAGACTAAAATCATCTCATGTTGAGAAATGAAAGAGTTGCAGCCATGATGGTCAAAACTCGCAAATAATGTTGACCAATTACATATAAAATTAATCTAACCATAGCCTTTTTAGTGTCGGCTAAGTTCGATTAGCTGTGGCGACCATTTTGACTTGGGTTGGCTCCAAAGGTTAATCATCTGTAGATGTTGATCCAATGATTATTACCTGGACGTGTCCTTAAAATCCATCCAGTGGTTCATGAGATGTTCAACTCAAGCACACAGACATGGGTAAAAACAGCAGGTGATAAATATGGCGTGTCAAATAAAAACTCCTTTATGTTTGGGATCAGACATCTAACATTACAAACCTTTAAAATGTTTTTACCACGGTTGTGTTAAGACTTCTGACGCGTATAACTCCGTCAATCTGAACATTTATCACAATCTTACAGCTCAGTGGAGTAGAACAGGTTTCCTTTATTTTTCTTTTTATCTTAAATGTTTCAGTAGTTAACAAATTAACTCAAACTGATGCAGCGAGTGGTTTCTCATTCTTTAAAACAGTCGTATTTAAAGACTCATTTTGGAGTTGTGGGGTAAAACAAAGCTACTCTTTTTCAAAAGGGTCCAATTATTGTCAGGAAAAAAAAGCACAATTTATAAACGGTACAGAACTTAATGTTACATCTACATTCAGTTTTCTGAATTTATTCAGCCTCAGAGGTGTTTTAGCAAAAACAGCGAGTTAAAGCTGTGAAGACTTACGGGCATTTTGTTGGAAAGGGTTTGGTTTGGTTTTAGTTTTTTTGAGGGGTCCTGGAACGTAACGACCTCCACCTGCTGGCTGGTTGGACCTGATGGATTAAAGAAGAGTAAAAAAAAGAGGATTAAATTACACGACTGGCATCTACTGAACTTGTTGTGATGCTTCCTACCTTTGTGTTCAGTCTCAACATGAACTCCTCCTTCACGGTCTTCATCCCTGCAGGCGCTCTTCTCTGGTGGAAGCTCCTCTTCCTCCTCACTTCGTTTGCGTTTTGTATTTTTCTGACTCTTCCTTTTTGGCTTTGATCCTGCACCAAACAAACAAACAAAATAGAGAAATAAATAAAAATAAGACTATTATGATTTTCTCATTTAGCCCACATTTACAGTATTAACCCAAAGAGGAGGATAAACTTTTAGTATAAGTATTTAAACTTAAAAAACGGACATTTTAATAAAAATTACAATTACAGACTCAAGTGCAATAAACTGAATTTTGCTATAACAATCATTTGTTTGACTACCATTTTTTAATAATAATCTCATAGCTTTTATGAGATATTATTTATTTTAAAAAGTACTACATATTTTAGTAGTATTGTGAGAATTAAAGATGTTTTAAACTTCTTTCTATGTGAATGAAAGTTTTAACGAGTCAGCATAGATTGCCTTCACTTTGGTTGTCTGCTCGTTAACGTTTCAGTGGTGCATCGCTTGTAAGAGCGAGCGGGATGGAAATTATTTGCGCGGGTAGATGCACCGCCTGACCTCTCCGCCGGAACACATACCGGAGTATAAATGGTGCGGACCTACTGACAGCTATTTCATATCGCCTGAGCTTTTACACTAGTTTAGTAATTAAATAAACTGAAGCACCACACGAAACACATGAAAGGCCCTATTCCCGATCATTCAGTCTCAAGTAATTTTCTAATAACTAAATGCCAAAACTAAAAACACTTTAAGACATAACACCGTCCTTTAAAGGTGGCTAGCTAACGTTAGCTAACAATGCTTACCGAAGTCATAAAGCGAATCCAGAACACGTTCGAGGAACAAACTGTCCTCATCCTCTGTATCATTTCTTCTTGAGCTCATTTTAAGCTGATATACCGGGCAGGCGCCTTAAAACAAGTACGATTTTTTTTTTAGTTTGTTTAATTTACATGAACGACAACAGACCGCGAACTCACGTGTCGCGCTGTACAACCGTTTTTACCCTTTGCAGCCACCGTAGGCGAAGGAATACGGAAGTGTTGAGGAAATGTCATCCGCTCACACGCCCATGAGAGGTTCAGCAGGTGCTGTTCTCGATTAAAAAGTAACGCAGAGAGCCAGAGGAGCATAAATATTCACCTGGATAAAACTTCAACGCATGCAGCATCTGCGTGTTTCTTCGTTGCGACAGAACATGGCGTCCAAAGCGGCTTATTCGGTGCGTATGTTAGCTAAAGAAGCTACTTCTGTCCAAAAGTGACCAGACCTCACGTCTTATTCAAATTAAAGCCGAATTTATGATTAACAACAACTTCGTTTAAAAATGTACTCTTGTTTTTCTTACATTTGGTCTTAAAGAGACCTGTAAATCAAATAAATGTGCCAATATGTCTTTTGTTTTCACCATGAAGTTTAAGAACTGAACTCATTCTGGTTAAATGGGTCTGTTCTGATCACACCGAGTTTGTTTTTGTCTCTTTGCGATGAAAATCATCAACTTAAAGCGTTTTAGTTTATCACAGCACATCATCATAAGTGTGGTGCAGGAACACCTGAAGGAAAAGTTTGCTCACTATTAATATTATTATTCATGCTTTTATTCTTTTAAGTCCTTGGCATCAAGTAAAATTCTGGATTGTGCACAATTAATAAATCACACAATACGTTTTGTTTGCATTGTGCAACCTATTTTTTGTGCTCATAAATTAATAACTTGTATGCAAATGTAGTAACAAAAAAAATTAATGTGAATTCAGGCAAGAAGCATCAATTATTCTGTTTTTTTATTTTTTTATTTTAATTAAATACATCTTTTATGGCAGTCTAAGAGATTTTATTTATTTTATTTCGGACTTTGTACCGTAATTATCAGAATCTCATCTCCGCCGCTTCTAATTCATCAGAAAACATTTTTAAAGCTATTGTTTTCCAATGCAGTTTATTCGAGAGCCGTACTCTTTCTATTTTTAATTATCAGATTAAACCTGGGAAATTTAGTGCATTTATTAAACTGTGCCCAATCAATCAATCAATCAATCAATCGAGGAGGTAAAATAGATATTAAAAGGCCTTTCTGATGTTTTAGTTGACCTTAAGATCCTCTCATATCCTTGGAAAACCACTAGATCAGCTAAATAAGGCAAGACAAGACCATTAAGAGCTTTAAAGGTAACCAGTAAGAGCTTGAAATTAATTCTAAATGGACTGGGAGCCAACGTGCACGTGCCTGGGAGTGTTAGTTATACGTCGGCCTGCAGGGTTTTGGACAAGTTGAAGACGGCTGATGGAGGGTTGGGAGATTCCAACGTAAAGGGCGGTACTGTAGTCGAGTTCTGGGTCCTCTTCCCAGTGGGACATGCTGGGAACACCCCCAAAGGGAGACATCTTGGGGCATCATAATCATAACTAACATAACTCGGGCTCAGCCTTCGAGAGAATGAGGATCTTCTTCATCCTGGGGGGAGCTCGGAGTAGAGCCGCTGCTCCTCTGCATCAAAAGGAGTCGGCTGTGGTGGTTCATCCGATTAGGATGCCTCCCTTTGGGGGCGTTCCCAGCATGTCCCACTGGGAAGAGGACCCGGAGAAGACCTAGAACTCCCAGCAGGGATTAAATATCCAGTCGTTCTACATGTCCTGTAGCTACAGTCACATACTTTTATTTCTGTGAAAGCCCGACTTCACACTTTGTTTCCTTTAACAGCACAGAGATCCCATGCTGAAGAAAAGAGATGATTTTGAGGACATTCTGGAGGAGAGGAGACAATCCAGTGACCTGAGATACGCTCTCAAGTGTTACACTCCAGCTCTGTATAAAGGACTGACTCCCTGCAAAGCCACCGAGCTGAAGAGCATGGTCCTGCAGTCCGATCAGCTTCAGTACGTCATCAATCAGGTGAACGTCTCGCTAAATAAACCTGTTTTGAATATTATTGTTTGATACGGGTCTCTCTTTAAAAACATCAGCCGTTGGGTCGTACCTGTGTGCACTTAGTCGTAATCGCTGTGAAAATACGGAATTTTTTTGTTTTAATTATGAGTTTTGCATCATTTAATGATCGTTTAGGGATTAATTTTCCTCAATCTAACCTGTAAATAAAAATGGTTTTAAAAACAGCAAATGTTTGTTGCAACTCAAAATTAGTGGCAACGTAACATCTGCTGATTTTGCTCATCTGTTACAAATTTTGTGGTTGACCTGTGTTAGTGAATTATGCAAATTTAAGTGGTTATTTCATTATAGATGAGACAAATGCAATATTTCCTAATTTAAAACTAATAACTTCATATTTTGACGGCTAATATTATAGAGATAAATTAGTCTTTAAAGTAGTCACACGAGCGTACCACAAGATTCACAAAGGCAGGGTCAGTTTTTCAAACGTAGCTCACTGTAGAGCAGTTTAGTTGTTTTTAAACTAGAATGCTCTTCTGTATCTGTTATATTACACACAGAGTGTTTAAAAACACAAATAATAAAGTTTGATAGAGTCCAGGAAAATCTGCATCGTTTGCGTTTCAGTGGCTAAATTAAAGATGGAACAGGTAAACCAGAGCTTGAATGAGAGTTGAATGAAAATACTAATAAAATAATAACAGAGACAAGAGACAAAACAAACTAAAGATGGACACTAGTTAGGCTGGTAAACCTAAACTAATTTGAAAACAGGACTACTGATTACTAACCACCCTAAATAATTGGTAACAATGAAATAAAATAAAACTATGGATGATGCTGCCCCCTTGTGGCGTAATGAAGACTCTGCAGGACTGTTGGAGAGAGAACCTGTTTGTTTGTTTGTTTGTTTGTCATATGCAGGTCAACACGAGGTCAACAATGTGATGAAATGTTCAGGATGACCCTCGAATAACGGCTGAAGTTTGATGAAGCTGAAACTGAGCCGATGAAGCTAAAATAAGCAAAACAAGAAAAGGGCAAAATGGTAGTTAAAACGTAAAACAAGTAGCAAAAATTTGCAAAACATGAGCTAAAAATAGAAATATGTTGCCTACAAGCTAAAGTAGCAGAGCACTAGCTAAAGAAGCCAACAGCTAGCTAAAATTTAAAATAATAAAATATCTAAATAAAATCTAAAGTAACAGAAAGCTAGCCACAAGCTAAAGTAAAAAAAATAAAAAAGTTTCTTAAACATAAAGTAGCAAAAAGTCTAGTCTTAGGGAACAGAAAATTATCTCTTAGATAAAGTAGCAGAAATCTACCTTAAAGCTAAAGTTGCTGAATGCTAGCTAAAAGCTAAAGTAGCCAAATGCTAGCTTTAGACTAATATAGCAGAAAGCTTGCTAAAAGAAAAAGTAAGTTAAAAGTAGCAAAATGCTAAAATTAAGCTAAATTAACAAAAGGCGAGCTAAAATACAAAAAGACTAGGTACAAGCTAAAGTAGCAGAAAGCTAGCTCCGTGTAGCAAAGGTTAGGTCAAAAGCTAAAATAGAAATTGGATTAAAATTGTTACAAAAATCACCTGAAGAGCTGTTTGACATTTGTAAATATGGAATATCTGCATCAGGTACTTTTAAAATGTGCTCCAAGCAGAGATCAGTAAACTATTTAATCTTTTTGAGTTTAAATTTTGCTGAACTCGTTGAAACGTTTCCTCTCAGCAGAATGTAAACGTTGGACGTTGACTTTTCCCCGCAGCGTTTTGTAGAGATGCTCCTCCGTGTGACACTTCAAACCCCTCGTTTCTCTTAACAACACTCGATGATATTTAGACTTTTTTTAGATCACCGTTTAGTTTTACACTAATTTAAACTGTGTGCATTAATTTATGTATTTTAAAATATTTACCTTAGGGAGGATTGAACCAAAATTTGTTTAAAAAGTACCGTATGTTCTCTAATTTTTGATCAGATCCTGGACGATCAAAGTGTTTAAACTGTTCAATAAATTGTAAATAAGTGGGAAATAAATATGTTTTAGTTTTTAGATGTTTATCTGATCCTCCGCCTTTGTTTGTTCTTACTAATATTTCCTTTTTGTTACGTCTGCTGGACATTTTTTTCTGAACGTTTTAGGTTTCCAAACAGACGAGCGTGACTGCAGGTGAGGTTCAGGCGGAGGCGGCGTCCATCTTGGACGAGATGGCTCACCGTCTGCAGCTCAGCACGGTTCGCTTCTTCGCCTTCACCCTGAGCAAAGTCTTCAAGGCGTTGTTCAGGAGCGTCTGCGTCAACGAAGAAGGCGTCCAGAGAGTGAGTGTTCGGGGGGTGGGGGGAAACAAAGAGGCGAAATACAAAAACTAACGTGTTTCTGCGTCATGTTCAGCTCCAGCAGGCCACCCAGGAGCATCCGGTGGTTCTGCTGCCGAGCCACCGCAGCTACATGGACTTCCTGCTGATGTCATACATCCTGTACACCTATGAGCTACCTTTACCTGTCATCGCTGCCGGCATGGGTGAGAACAGAAACCAGACCTGAGGATACTCTAAAACACACAATAAATGGCCACAGAATAACTGCTGAAGTTTGATGAAGCTGAAACTGAGCTGTTAAAGCTAAAATAAGCAAAACAACAAAAAGGCAAAATGGTAGTTAAAATATAAAAGTTGCAAAACGTGAGCTAAAAGTAGAAACATGTTGCCTAAATGCTAAAGTGGCAGAGCACTAGCTAAAGAAGCCAATGGCTAGCTAAAAGTTATAATGGAAAAATGTCTAAGTAAAAGCTAAAGTAGCAGAATGCTATCCACAAGCTAAAGTACGAAAATGTTTCCTACAACATAAAGTAGCAAAAAGCTAACTAAAGTCTTGGGTAACAGAAAACTATATCATAGATAAAGTAGCAGAAAACTAGCTTAAAGCTAAAGTTGCTGAATGCTAGCTAAAAAGCTAATTTAGCCAAATGCTAGCTTTTGACTAATATAGCAGAATGGTAGCTAAAAGATAAAGTAGCAGAAAGCTTGCTAAAATAAAAGGTAAGTTAAATGTAGCAAAATGCTAAAATAAAGCTAAAGTAACAAAGGCTAGATACAAGCTAAAATAGAAAAAAAAAAGACTTGGTACAAGCTAAAGTAGCAGAAAGCTAGTTCAGTGAAGCAAAGGTATGGTCAAAAGGTAAAATAGAAAAAGGCTAAGTACTGGTAAGTAACAGGACGTTAGCTACATGCTAAATGTAGGAAAATATTAAACAAAGTGGCAGAAGGCTAGCTGAAAGCTAAAGTAGCAGAAAGCTTGCTAAAAGTGAAAGGTAAGTTAAAAGTAGCAAAATGTTGAATTACAGCTTAATATCCTGATGCATGCTCAATAATCCAGGTAGAAAAATCCAAAAAAGTTCAATCTGGTCCTCTGGACATTCAAAAAAACAAAAAACAAAACAAAGCAAAAAAATCTAGAAACGTTTCGTCTCTCATCCAAGAGACTTCCTCAGTCTGAGGAGCTGTATTCAGCTCAGTCTCTTAAATAGCACCTTAAAGTTAAACAGGGGTGGAGGCCTCCGGGTTCAACTGTCCCCCTCTTACAATGCTGTGATTGCTAGTATCACTCAGCCCTCTGTGAACAGTAAACAGCCATCAGTGTGCTAATGATCCATTGTTAGGCTGATGGTCCTTCTTGAGCATGTGATCAGCTGGTTTTGGTTGTCAGCAGCAAACTGGTTGATCCACTCTGAGAAGGTGCTATTTAAGAGACTGAGCTGAATACAGCACCTCAGACTGAGGAAGTCTCTTGGATGAGAGACGAAACGTTTCTAGATTTTTTTGTTGATTTGTTTTGTTTTTTGTTTTTTTGAATGTCCAGAGGACCAGATTGAACTTTTTTGGAATTACAGCTTAAGTTAGAAAGTAGCAAAAAAGGTTAGATAAAGTTAAAATAGCAAAAGGGTAGATGAAGCTAAAGCAGCAGAAGGCTAGATAAAGCTAAAGTATCAGAAAGCTTGCTAAAAGCCAAAGGTAAGTTAAAGTAGCAAAATGTTATGTTGGATTGTATACCTGGATTATTGAGCATGGACTTTGTTGTTAAAGATTAAGTAAGAAAATAACAAAAAAGGCTAGATAAAGCTAAAGTAGCAGAAGGCTAGATAAAGCTAAAGTAGCAGAAAACCAGATAAAAGCTACAGTAGCAGAAAACTTGCTAAGTGAAAGGTAAGTTCAAAGTAGTAAATTGTTAAATAAAAGATAATTAACAAAAGAAGCAAAAAGGCTAGATAAAAGCTAAAGTAGCAGAAGGTTAGCTGAAAGCTAAAGTAGCAGAAGGTTAGCTGAAAGCTAAAGTAGCAGAAGGTTAGATGAAAGCTAAAGTAGCAGAAGGTTAGCTGAAAGCTAAAGTAGCAGAAGGTTAGCTGAAAGCTAAAGTAGCAGAAGGTTAGCTGAAAGCTAAAGTAGCAGAATGCTAGTTGAAAGCTAAAGTAGCAGAATGCTAGTTGAAAGCTAAAGTAGCAGAAGGTTAGCTGAACGCTAAAGTAGCAGAAGGTTAGCTGAACGCTAAAGTAGCAGAAGGTTAGCTGAAAGCTAAAGTAGCAGAAGGCTAGTTGAAAGCTAAAGTAGCAGAAAGCTTGCTAAAAGCTAAAGGTTAGTTAAAGTAGCAAAATGTTAAAGCTTAAGTAAGAAAGTAACAAAAAGGCTAGATAAAATTAAAGTAGCAGAAGGCTAGATAAAGCTAAAGTAGCAGAAAACCAGATAAAAGCTAAAGTAGCAGAAGGCTAGCTAAAAGCTAAAATAGCAGAAGGTTAGCCGAAAGCTAAAGAAGCAGAAGGTTAGCCGATAGCTAAAGAAGCAGAAGGTTAGCCGATAGCTAAAGTAGCAGAAGGTTAGCCGAAAGCTAAAGTAGCAGAAGGTTAGCCGAAAGCTAAAGTAGCAGACGAAAAGAGAAACGGGATGTTTTCTGAAGCAGATTTCAAAGAGATCAATGTCTTTGAATGAGTTGAAGAGAGCTTAACGTATTTCTGTAGGTAAAATATTTGTAAATAAAGTTAAATATAAAGTTATAAAACCCAAAAGTCTCTTTTTCTCCCCTGAGCTGAAAGTTTTGATATGTGAGCAGTTAAAATAGCACAAAGTGTGCAGAAGTGGATAAAGTAAATAAAACCGGGGTGCGTCTGCTGGCTCAGTATTTTCACTGTGGAGTGAAAAGTTTCAGGTTGTAGTTTTCTTTCTACCATTTATGTCCCAGAACTGCCAGTTCCCCGAGTGCTCCTCCAGAATCAGCAGCTAAACCCAAACTAACTGTCTGCAGACTTCATGGGGATGAAGATCATCGGCGAGATGCTGCGGATGGCCGGAGCGTTCTTCATCCGGAGGTCGTTCGGTGGAGACCAACTGTACTGGGCCGTTTTCTCCGAGTACGTCAAGGTCATGGTGAAGGTAAACGCTGGGACTCATGGGAGGGGTTTCATTTGTTTACACTGTTTTATTTTATTCGTTTCTTACCACAGATTGGATTTGCACCAGTTGAATTTTTCCTGGAGGGAACCAGAAGCAGAACGGCCAAATCTTTGACTCCAAAGTTGGGTAAGTGACGAGACGGTGCGTATGGAAACTACCACGGAACAAGACGTCCTAACCCACGCTAACTTGGAGAAGACGTCGGACCGTTGGTATCCTGATCGTTACCACGTTCTGTTCGGTTCCTATACATGCGCTGAGAGATTTTATGTCGTCTGCAACACGTCGGACCCCTTCAGGATGAGAGCTGGACTCCACCAGAGCTGCCCGGTGTCACAGATTCAGTTCATAACCTTCATGGACAGGATTTCTCGGTGCAGTCCGCGGGTGGAGGGAGTCCGTTTCCACCAACAGTTGTGGTCCCGATGGAGTCATCCTCTTGTTAGCTCCAGCTCTCACTGGAGCAGTTTGCAGCCGAGTGACGAGGCTGGGACGAGAATCGGCACCTCCAAATCTGAGGCTGTGGTCCTCAGTTGGACCATGTCGGACCACTGTCCTCTGCGGGTTGGGGGTGAGGTTCTCCTCGTCTGAAGTGTCTTACAGTTTTGTTCACAGTGAGGGAAGAATGGAGCGTGAGACTGAAAGATGGATTGGTGCAGCATCCGCAGTATTTCGTACTCTGTGCTGGTCTGTTGTGGTGAAGAGGGATCTGAGCTGCAAGATGAAGCGCTCTGCTTATGGTCAACGTTCCTACGTTGGTCTACGGTCACGAACTCTGGGTAGTGACTGGAAAAAGAGAGTTTTCTCTGCAGGGTAGCTGGATCCTCCCTTAAAGATCGGGTCAGTTCTCCAGAAGAGACTTGGAGTAGAGCCGCTGCTCCTCCGCACTGGGAGGAACCGGTTTAGGTGGGTCTGGGATGCCCCCTGGATGTGTCCCTAGGGAGATTTTATTGGCAAGTCCAACTGAAAGGAGACCCGGGGAAGACCCAGGACACGCTGGAGAGACTACGTCTCTCGGTTGGCCTGGGAACGCCTTGGGGTCCTCCCTAAAGAGGTGGCTGTGGAGAGAGATGCTGGACCTCCCCGTTCAAGCTGCTGCCTCCACGACCCGACTCCAGAACAAGCAGAAGATGATGGATGGATCCAGACATGATCTCTCTTTCTGTTTTGTCTGCAGGGCTGCTGAACATCGTGATGGATCCGTTCCTTAAAGGCGAAGTATTCGACGTGAGCCTGGTCCCGGTCAGCATCAGCTACGAGAGGGTTCTGGAGGAGGCGCTTTACGCCAGAGAGCTGCTGGGCGTCCCCAAGCCCAAAGAGTCCACATCTGTGAGTTTTTTGAACATCTGGCATGTTCTTTAACTGGGAAGATGATGTGAATTCAGAACCCAAACAGCTGTAGTTACTGAAAATTATTTATTTTCAAAGACGTTTGTTGAGTTGGAAATTTTCTTTTAACTTATTTTGAACTTTTCTGTTCTTTTCTATATGACAGTCTTTTTTTTTTTGTCCTTGTGTTTTTAGGGTTTGTTTAAAGCCAGGCGGGTTCTGAGTGAAGACTACGGCAGTATTCACGTGTACTTTGGTCAGCCTGTGTCCGTCAGAAGTTTAGCCGAGGGCAGAGTTAACCGCCGTCAGTTCAACCTGACGCCGAGGTACCGAACACGGAACACCTTAAAGTCTGACCATCGTGCTGCGGTCTGCATTCTAACCTAACGTCCTCACACTTTACTATTTTAGCTGTTCATATATTTAAAAAAAATAGCCGATTTTTAAAATAAATTTACAGAATTTTTCCCATAAGATCATTTTCAATCATTTCTAAATATGCTTCATTAATTAAGTCTCGTTGTCTTTTTACGATTTTTTTAGCTACCGTTCGGCTACTTTCAGCTTTTAGCGAGCCATTTGCCACTTTTGTCTTTGAGCTAACTTTTCTACCTTTTACTTTTTATTCTAACCTTTTTCTACTTTAACATTGTGTCCACCCTTCTGCTACTCTTTAGCTTTTAACTAACCTTTTGATACTGTTACCTTTTAGCTACCAATCTGCTACTTTTAGTTTTTAGTTGGCCTTTTATTTTGTTTGGCTTTTAGCTACCATTCTGATACTTTGAGCTTTTAGCTAGCCTTTTGCTATTTTATGCTTTCAACTACCATCCTGCTACCTTTTAGCTAGCATTTGTATCTTTTAGCTAGTCTTTTGCACTTTTCGATTTAGCTGGAGTTATGATAGCCGAAGCAGCTGACATTAGCCAACATGTAAATGGCTGCAGCTCAGTCAGTTTTCCAGACACGGAGCTGCAGTGACCTGTGGTAGTAGCTGAGAGTCATCCCTGTCTTACACTCAGCGTGCTGATGACGTGTGCAGCTGGGCCTCGCGTCACTTTAAGCTTTAACTAAATCGTCTTTAACGCTTTCGGCGGGTGATATGCATTTATCCAATGAATTCTGGGCCATCAGTTTTTTTTGTTTTTAATAACCGAGTTTGTCTAAATGTTGAGTTTGTAATATATTTTTTAGAAAACGCTCTTTTTAACCAAACTTTTATTAAAATGTTTGTTTTGCTCCTCTTCATTTAAGGCAGATAAAACTGTGTAAACTATGAAGTACAGCAGGTTTAGGACCAGCATGCACCTGGGCAGCCCATTCTTTGATACCAGAGTGTTATTTGTTGCCTGCAGTGTGTAAATAAACCATCAGAACCTAATGGACCCGTTCGTACAACAAGAAGCCCGTGGTGCAGCTGCAGCTGGAATCGTAGCAACAAATGGAATAACTAGTTTTTCATTTTCAGACACATCCCCAGGAAGCCCGGAGAGGAGATCCACAGCTTCGTCAACGACTCGGCCTACAGGCTGGTTCGGTCCCAGGAGGAGAACATGGTCCTGAAGCCGTGGGTTCTTCTGGCCTGCTTTCTGCTGCAGAGCCAGGCCGCCGGGAACAAACGGGGGATGTCTTTGGAGGAGCTGACCCAACGAGCTGTGTGGCTCAGAGACCTCTCCCGGCAGTTTGGAGCCTTCCTTCACTGGCCCGGTACTGTTCTGTGACCGCTCCGAGACGATCAGGGGTCTGTGCTCTGCAGCGAGACGATTCATTTATAGAAAAATGAGATGAAATGTTTCGGTTGTATCCATGTGAGCCTCAGCCTCCTACCGCTCGATTTCCGCCCCAACTGCTGTCACTTCAAGTCATCCCGGCTTTTAGTCGCCGTGTCTTTTCAAAAGAGGAAGAACTTTAAGGTTCTGCTTTCCAGCTGTCATCCCTCTGACTCTGGTAACATCTGGGGATTGGTTTATTGAAATCTGTCGCCCAACGAGACCGTCAAAAGTGTACTCGTTAGTACTCGTTAGTACTCGTTAGTACTCGTTAGTACTCGTTAGAAACAAAACATGGCCCTGCTGATTTGCTTTCGCTCATTTATTACAAACCAAAAGACTTTTGGTAGTGAACGATGTGCATATAGTGTTTTTTTTTAATTATTTTTTAATCACAGATGATACACTTCAAGTTCAAACCAAAAACTAGAAAAATCACAGCTGCTCGGTAGTTTAGATCTGATTGATGCAGCAGACAAAGAAAAACAAACTGGAAACTGTTCAAAGAATAAGTAAAAACAAGTTAACGAATAAACTGTATACAACGTAATCAGTGTTTTTAATTGTTAAAAACACTTTTTAGTAAACATGCCTGCAAAGTGGTCATTTTTTGGCTAAATTTGCCTATTTGCAACTTTCCTGCCAGTTCTGTGAGCTTAATAGATCGATCGTTACTTCTGACTTTGAGTTGCAAAACTTTTCCTCCAGTTCGGCAGAAAGCAGCGGCCGGAAGCACTGTTGCCTTCTGGGTAGTGTAGTTCTTTTTTGACTGGCGTTACAGTGTAGGCTTATTGAAATAAAACTACAAAATGGCTGCGCCTGTCCGAAGTATTTATTTATTTTTGTTAACTTTTTATCCCATACTGTCCCAATCGCATGAGTAATATTAAAGTTGATAATCGTTGGAAAAACCGCGAAGGAGCGAGTCCACGAAAGTCGAACTACAAAGTAGCGAGGGACTGCTGTATGTCATTTACATGAATCATCTAGATTCAAAAAGTTTTTTTGGGACAAGGGTGCCAGAGGCGTTGTAGATGGCATAATTTCTCATTAAATGGACTTGCGTAGCTAGCTCGCAACCTGTGCTCACAACAAAGCTCGCGCCAGCTCATAATCGCTAAGCTAGCACATAAACGCTAAGCTAGTGCACTTGTGTAATGCTATTTTAGCACTACGTAGGTGCCGGCAGTTGTCGACTGGTGCGGGTGTTGGGGTGTGTTAGAGAAGCGGAGCGCTACATCTGTATTGCTCGCTGCTAGCTTAGCACTACGTATTTAAGAAATGAGTTTTTGCTATTAGCAAAATGCTCCGCTATATTTGGTTCCTCTGGCTGGCTTGGTGCTGTTGTTGCTCGTTTTTTGGTTCAGTAGCCATCTTTTTTGACCTAATTAAATTAGAACATGTTAATAATTGTCTTTTTTTTACCTGAATCATGTTGCCTTTTCCCCTAATTTTCATCTTGGAGTGTACCAGAATGCTTAATTTACATGTTAAAAATGACTAAATCTTCCATGAGGGGTTGGGGTGGGGGTGGGGTGTACTACAGGCTTGTCACCTTTTTCATCCCTTGAGTTTGCAGGTACGAGTCAATTACCAGGGCTATATATTTTTATTGGATGCACTAAAGTGTACTGTAGAGGTCTTGTTTATATTAATCTTTATAGCATTTATTAGCTTTCAAGAAATTTTGCTGTCCAACATGTTTTTGCACGTTTGATGACTAAATAATGTTTTTACGGTCTAAGCTTTTATCTAACCCTGAAAATGATGCAGATAAAATTGCAGCTGCTCTGTAAAGTCATTGATGCATTTCTTGTTCTTCTTCTCTTTCTTAATTTCCTGCTGCTCGGTTTGATGTTGCTTCTCCTCCTTCAGATCAAGCGGTTCCCTCCGAGGTGGTTTCTTCCAGTCTTTCCCTCCATCGAGGTCTGGTGAGGGTCTCTGAGGGTCGAGTCCAGCTGGCTCTGGATCAAGGTTTGATACGTTTTTTTTTTCTTTGGAACGCTTGTTTTCTAGAAATTTAAAATGCAGAATACACCAAAAACCATGAAGCGACATAAAACGAGAGCAATGACGGCGTTCTTTTCTTGAAGCAGGAGCTGAACTGGGGAGGCCTCCCAGTGCCGTAACACCGGAGGAGGAGCTCCTGAATCGGGCGGTCACCATCCTGTCCTGCGCCTCCTACAGGAACCAGGCGCTTCACGTCTTCATCCGACCGGCGCTGCTCGCCTCGGCTGTCCAAACAACGTCCTCCAATAAGAAACGTAAGACCAACTTTCTTCTGCCACGCTCGGTCATCATTTATGTATCGCCAACGACACAAGTTGTTCTTGATGGTTCTGATTTCGCAGAACTGAAGAATGCGTTCGCTCCACTGCACACATGAGGTTTATTTACAGTGCAAATGTAGAAAAATGTGCTGGGACATTGTTTGTCCTAAACTTCAACATATTTACTCAGAAAGGCACGAGATTTGGGTACAAAATGTTTGGGTCTAAATCAGAGGTGGCCAGACTTTTTCAGCGAGCTCCTTTTAAAAATGACCAAGTCAAAGTGATCTACTACTATAAGACCCTGTTTACACAGAACAACCTCTGGAAACGTTGATGTTTATTACATTTTTGTTGGGGGTAATAAACAAAAAATGAGCTGGTTTACACACAAACGCTGCAGTTTCCATGTCAGTCGGGTTGCCAGATAAGAAATTCTGAACTATAGTACTGGTCACTTTAAAATGATAGTATTTTGACCTAAACTGTCATATGTGCTGAGTAAAGCTATTCTAAGATGAGGTGTGTGTTTCTTGAACATGTGCACAGAAAAGGAGGGGGTAAATAAGACATTTTAACTTTATCAACCCTCTTCATACATGCAGCATCTGCATGATCACAATTAGTCCAAACTGGTGAAGACACCAACATCTCTTTGGACCCTGGATTTTATTAGTTTTGCTCCGAAATGCTGAAAAAGGGTGAGCAGCACAAAAACACTGCTCTCTGCCGTTTATTATAACTGTTGTTATTTATTATAACTGTTGTTAGTGCAGAAACACATTGGACTGCAGCCGCTTGTAGTGCACATGTTCAACCACTTGTGGAGCATTTCACTCCTCTGTGGGGGGTTCCCCTGGAAATCTCCACTCTGAGAGCTGGATTCAGAAACCTTAGGTTTCAGAGAGAACGAGGGCTGTTGTCTGTAAGTGAATGGCCGAACATTTCACGTCGTGTAAACGGGGCATCCGTCTTGTCAAAACTCCAAAATTTACGGTTGAAACCCGTGCCTTTGTGTAAAAAGTTGCTTTTCTCTGCAAAAAGAAGCTGAGAACTTGTTTACTGATTTTTTTTTAATTAAAAGCTTTGTGTAAAAAATGCTATGCTAAAGAGCTCAAACCACACCGAGCGTCTGCCATTTTGAGAACAGAAGAGAGACAGCCCATGTCACGTCAAGAGGCCTCCCTCTTATTTTTCTTGGAGACACGCTGCTCACTCTCTCACATCCATTCTTTGGTTCAAACAGTCTTATACTGCCATCTAATGGTCAAAAAACGGTACTACACACAAATTAACCAACATTTCTTCTTAAATTTGACAATAATTCCTTATTGTCAAATTTCAAACAATATTATCGTTTATCGCAATAATTTCTGAGACAATTGATCGCCCAGCAAAATTTGTTATCGTGCCAGGCCTACTGATTGGCGGACTTTTTTTTTTTTTAATGCCATGCGATCTACCCATAATACCTTTTACGATCAACTGGTAGACCGCGATCAACGTGTTGGGCACCCCTGATTTAAATTACGTTTGTTTTCCAGAGGAAGTCTTCAGCAGCTTCAGCTTTCTGAGGAACATGTTCTCCAACGAGTTCATTCTTTGCCCCGGTGCTGCCGTGCAGGTGAGCAGCTCCTCAGTCGTCTGCACGTAGAAACATTTGATAAATTGTCATATTTACAGCGCGTGCCTTCTTTCTTTCTCATTTAATTTTTCAGGACTTTGAGGAGGCCTGCTACCTGCTGGGAAAGAGCGGTGCTCTGCAGATCAACCAGCAGGAGATACTGGTGACGGAGAAAGGACAGAAAACACTCAACTTCCTCACAAACATCCTAGATCCTTTTCTACAAGGATATCAAGTGAGAGAAATACACTTCGCTGTCGCTGTGGTGTCATGAACATATTTTCTGTCCATCATGGACAAAGCCCTAATCGTCATCTCAAGTTACAGAAAACATGTCCGCCTGGATTCATTAAGGCTTTTAAAGCACAAGTTCGTGTTCTGCATCTCATTTAAAATAAAACATACAAATTAAAACGCGCAGCTCCGCTGGGAAAGTCGTGCTATGACTTGTTGGCGGTGCATCGCACAGCACGAGACCCTGCAAGTAAAAATGGTGGAGGTCAACGGGATTTTGTTGAAACGGGTGAGAAACTCCTCCAGCTCAGACGAACATCACAGTAAAACCATCATTCAAAGTTTTTAAACTGGACACGAACAGCTGGACTCTACATCACGTAACTAGTATGTTCTGGTTTTTTTAGGGTTTTCACACAATTGCAGTTTAGGTTTTATAACTTTTAACAGATGGTTTTTTTTAAACACGGTTGATGTTTCTAACTTTTGAGCTGTCTGAAGTTCTAGCAGCTTTTGTAATCTCGTCTTTCTCTCGCGGCTCTTTTTGACACAAAAACAAATTATGCATCATATCCTGGGCGTTTCGTCTTCTTTCACGCAGTGTGTGTCTCTCGCTGCTGTAGGGCTTACATTTTTCTCTCAAACCCTCTGGGAGTGAGGGACCACAGCCAGGCTTCTAGAGGTTTCAGTTATATTTTAGCTCAGAATGTTCTCTTCAGGGCAGGAAGCGAAGGCTCTTTAACTGTAGTCTCCTACATAAAACACTGTAAAACATTTAAATTCAATCAAAGCTTTCTGCCGCTCACAGTTCAAACATTTTGAAGATCTGACTTGCAGTTTATTCACAGCAACTGATTACTTTCAGCCTGTGTTTCTCATTAACTTGGCCATCAGGGAGTGAGAGACAGACCTGTAGTTACCATGGTGATCCACTGATGACTGCTTTGTTTCTAGGTTCTCTTTACATTTGTCAAAGTTTTTACATCAAAATGTGGATATTTCATGTTGGGCTTTTGGGGAAAATGCTTCATCGCACCCTCCAGTGTTTTCAGAAAGTTTCTAGTTCCTCGTTGCAGCGCGAGGAGGGAGAATTGGAAACACCGCCTGTTCGTTCGTGCATGTCGTGAGCACGACAGCTTGAAGAATAAGCGAGGTACCCATTTCCATTTTGGTGTGTGGCTGCGTCAGGGTGTAGAAACGGTTCCTTTCGAAAATTGGGTTTCCACGTCAAAATCCAAGATGGCTGCCACTATATGTAAACTGATCACATTTTAGATTTTTATTTTTTATCATTTGAAGAAAGTATGCTTTCTAGTTCTTCCATCCTTCCATTATCTTTACCTGCTTCTTCCTTTTTGGGGTCACGGGGGTCACAGGTGCACATGTCCAGGCATCGCTGTACGAGAGACGGGGGACACCCTGGACAGGTCTCCAGTCCATCACAGGGACACATTGAGACAAACATTCACTCTCTCACTCACACCTAGGGACAATTTAGCGTTACCAATCAGTCTAACATGCATGTTTTTGGTCTGTGGGAGGAAAATGGAATACCCGAAGAGAACCCACTCATGCACGGAGAGAACATGCAAACTCAACCCAGGAAGGACCCCGGACCGGGATTTGAACCTGAACGACCTGCTCGCTGAGAGGCAGCAGCTCTACCAGCTGCTCCACCGTGCTGCACCACATTCTAATTCTTGTATTGCTTAAAAAAACCCAGTGTTTCCACTATCATGACAGGAACAAGGCGCCCCGCCCTGTCAACAGGACCAAGCGCCCTGCCTACCAAGCCAAATCACCCCCTCCCACCGACAACAGCCAGAACCGACGTAGCTCTGAGCTAGAGACACACGATACAGACATGCTAGCTAAAATTCTAGAGGTAGCACTCCACTTCCCTCGCGCTGAAACAGCGAGCAACACAGATGTGTCTCGGTACGAACCCCACCCAACCCCGTCGACAAAAATCACAGAAGAGATGAGTGCCCTGCTTCAGGGTTCCCGCAGCCACAGACCACCGAGCTACCTCAGCCCTCTGTGCGGAGCAGAGAGCTGCCGTCTAGGGCACCCGGGGGGAGCAGAAGGTGGGGGTTAAGGGCCTTGCTCAAGGGCCCAGAGTGGCACAAATGAGGGTGGAGGCAGGTGTGGGTGCTTCACCTTTCCCACCCACATTTTCATGTTGTCCGGTCCAGGGAGACGAACCGGCGACCTTCTGATGACAAGCTCGCCTTCTCAAACCTCTGCACCACCACTCCCCTTATATTGCCTAAAAATATAGTTTCCTCAAATGACCGGGGTGGCTGAAGATTATTGTTTGGTGGTGACCAAGGCCACCGTTGGCCACCCCCTGGCTCCGCATTTGCACCTGATCGTGGATAAAATCGCTCCCTCCACAGGATTCATCGTTCAGCGCTGCCTCCAATAAACAAAACAACAAAAAAAAAACATCTGTTCTTCTCCACAGTGCAACTCTTCCCCACTTGAATATCTTTTATCAAAAACATTTAGGTTTACTTGTGTTCCCTGTTCAGTTCCAGTCCAGAAAAACATTCACCTTGAAAAGTACAAACATTCTTTATTATCATCCGTGTACAGCTTTTTATTTATTAATCGTCAGGTTTTCTCAGATTTATCACCTGGTTCAGTTCTTTGAGTTTCGTTTCTTCACATCAACTGTAAATATCTCGAGTCGTCACAATCGCTGCAAAGATTTCAAATACGTGGTTTGTTTCCAGAAGCAGCAGCTCTGTGTGTTTTCACACTCCAGTACTCCCAGCAGTGGAGCGGTGTCCTGCTGACTGGTGCGTGTGTGAAAACCGTTTTAATCGTTGCCGTTTGTGTTGCCAGACGGTGTGCAGGTTTCTTTGTGAGGAGGCGTCCGAGGGCCTGACGGAGAAGCAGTTTGTTCCCGCTGTCCGGAGGTTCATCATCAAACATCTTCTCACAGGTTCCTCCTCCTCCGTCACGTCGTCTCTGTTGGTGTGTGTGTGCTTTCAGTCAAACACGAGCCGTTTGTGTGTCGCCCGTCCAGGGAGGCTAAGATACGCTGAGGTTTTGTCTTCGGACCTCCAGAAGAACGCGCTGGCAGCTTTGCTGAGGCTCGGAGCCGTACGGAGACTCGGAGGGTACGTTTGTTTTTATCGTCTGCTGCCTTCAGCCCTTCCTGACTTCTCCTTTGTGCTAATAACCGATCGCCTCCGTGCTTTGACTCCAGAGGAGACGAGCTGGAGGTCAACCAGGTGATGGTGAACTCCCTGGAGGACACTCTGGGTAAGAACCGACCGGTCAGCTGCTGCACAAACACACTTCTTGCTTTAGGCCTCAACAAGACTTTTATTTGTAATTATTTTTAAGGAGGAAACCTGCCGACTCAGAAGGTTGTCGCTGCTCGACTCTGATCCCTCGGGTCTTACGGAAGTACCGGTGTCAAGAGCCAAACCTCACTCCTCTCTGAGACAGGTGGAACAAAAGATCCAGAGACCACTCTACTCCTTTATCTCTTCTGTTTTTCTCTTCTTCTCACACTCCTAACCATCTTTTTATAAACCTGCATTAAAGCAGCTCGTTCTGAATAACAGACACTGAGCTGCTGGATGGATCATTAGTTCGTAGTGTTTGTAGAATCAAACCTCAGTGGCTTTTCTTCGTGCCCGTCCTTTCATCTTCAGGTTCTCCTCAGCACTTTCTTAAATCACCTCCTGTAGTGTGGTGTGGACCTCCAACTCACTTTGTGGACGGCGCTTCGCAAAAGTCTCCGCCGTTCTTGTAATCTTTCCGTTTTGTTGCCTTACAACCTGGAATTTAATTGGATTTTTTAAATTGGATTAAAAACTATGATTCCACAGAAATACTTTAGAAAAATGAGACGCGAGTTCCAAATCATTTTACAGCATGCACGGAAGTGATAAGTGTTGCGTTCGTACGTTTTCAGCCCCGAAGCCGTCGTCTTCAGAAGCCACATCCCGCAGGAATCACCATCTCACCCAGCAAGAGACATCATGAAGACCAAGGAACTCTCCACACAGATCAGAGTTGGGCTCTAAAACTGCATCCTAAACCCTGAACTGTCCACGGAGCTCCGATAAACCCAACAATGATGTCATCACAGCAAACCTGCCAACAGGTGTGGTGTTTACCAAAACTGACGGAGAGGGTAAGGAGCGTGCTGATCAGAGCTACGTCCAGAAGGCCAAAGATAACTTGATGGAGCTGCAGCTCTTCTACAGAGACGAGAGGATCGGTCCAACACACCACCAGAAGCTGCTCAGAGAAAAACAAAGTTTCTTCTCCAAACGTGGGGGAGTAGATGCTGCGGTCAGGTGAGCCCAAACCACGTCGGAGAACACCATCCCTCCAGTGGAGCACGGTGGTGACGGCAACATGCTGCGGGGACGTATCGGGTCATTCTGGGATGGAGGTGCACCTCGCAGCTGGACGACCTGGTTTAAGGAGAACCAGTTAACGCCAAGACCTGAAGAGAGCTAATGCTGCAGAAGGAGGTGCAACAGTGTTCAGTTTTGGGGCTTAATATGGACGCACTATTTTTTTATTTAAATTTTATATTTTTTCAACAATTGAAAACAAATAATTTATAATCCCCATTTAACTTGAGTCGCGGGTCAAATCTCCTACCCCCAAGATAATTTAAATGTAAAATATTGTATCTCTTTTAATTTTTTCTTTAAAAAATTGATAAATAGATAATTTAGTGTAGACCAGGGCTATTCAACTGGCGGTCCACGGGCCGGAAATGGCCCAGCCGGTGACTTCAATCTGGCCCACGTCATAAAAAAAAAAAATATATATATATATATAAATATATATATATATATATATAATATGGTTCTGTTTATTGCATTTGTGATCCAATGCAATAAAATAAACAAATTAAAACGGTAACAGATCGTTGTAAACTTCGGTTTATTTACATAATGCTTTTTAATCGCTGGATGTCTGGACCCCAAGCTGCTGGCTCTTAGAAACTGTTAATGGATCAGCTGAAAGTGACCCGTAGCTCAAAGTTTTAAAATTTTGTCTCCTTTTGGTAAGTGAGTTTGACACCCCTAATCTAAGGTATTTCTGTAGAATTATTACATTTATTCAAATTAAAACATCCCCATATTTCCTGGTTGTTGGTCAACAAAAGAGAAAAACAATGGATGAATACTTTTGCACGGTACTGTATACAAATATTCAATGTTTCAGTACAATGATTTGCTCTCCTGCTGCGTAAAGCTGAGCTTCCACCTTCAGGGAATTTACCGCAGATTTTTATTCAAATACTCGACTAACAGACACCTTCAGAAACTTTTTTAATTAGATTTTTTTTTCCTTGAATAACTGGCTTGCCATAACTCTGATCTTCAGCCTGGACTGTTTGTTTGTTTGTTTGTTTATTTGTTTACAAAGTGGAGCGACTGCTACAAGTTTAAAACTACGTGTTGCCAAACTTTATATAAAACTTATGCTCAAGCTGCACCAAAGCAGCACACCTTGAATTTATTTGTTGTTAGTACGACGCTTTCATGTTAGAAATCTATGAAATGTCTTCAGACTTTTATTTATACTTAAGAGGTTATTTAATTTAAAGGGAGGGACGGTAAAGCAAAAATAATAACGATTTGTAAAATCAGTATAACTTTAAGACTCAGGAATACATGTTTGAAATGAAAAATGTTTGTTCTTATTATTACCGGGTTAGATTAGAATAAAAAATATTTATTTGTTGTAAACTCGACTTGATGTCCCTTCTTGGTGCAGAACAGCCAGTTTAGGCCGAGTCGCTTCGTTGGTGGAGGAAACGTCACATTTAGGTCAGAAACCCAGTTCTTTAGGTCAAGTCACCTCCCACTCCGTTTTTCAAATTTCAATCGCAAAAATATCAAATCCAGGCTCGAACGCCTTTTTGTCACTCCAATGTGCTTCTTTAAACCCAAACTGCAGAACTTTTATACCTTTTGTAACCTCTTAATTTTTATAAAACGGATTAAAAAGAATCAAATCTTGCTTTGTCTGGGAAGTAGTTTTTATAAAATAACAAGTTTAACATTTTGACTTTTGGCTTCATATTGTGGACATTTTTTATAAAAATGGGTGGAAATGTGGCGCAACGACGTCACATACTTTAACTTAGAATTGAAAGACAGTAGTCCCTCGATACATCGCGGTTCGACTTTTGCAGACTCACTCTTTTGTGTGTTTTCAACGTAAGATACATGACACACGATTGGCAATGGGGAAAGACAGACCCCACCCCGCCCCTCCTTTCTCTTTCTGAGGC